CGAGTTTGTTTTGCGAGATCCCGAGTTTGTTTTGCGAGATCCCGAGTTTGTTTTGCGAGATCCCGAGTTTGTTTTGCGAGATCTCGAGTTTGTTTTGCGAGATCTCGCAAAAGTCCGTCTTAATTTTTTTCTCCCATGTCCCCTGCGAGGCTCCGTACACAGTAGATGAAAGTGAAAATATTGGCACTTTGATAAAAAAGATGTTATAATACCAACAAACTTTCAAGCCATCAAAACTAAACGTCGTGAGCTTAATGATGTGGTGCGCTGCTTAGCTAGACGTAGGGAACACCCTTCTCTCAGAGCCTTTGTGTTGTCATGTCAAGTTATGATTATTCAGCTGATGGCTTTCCTGGGCAGCGGCGTGCTGTCCGCTGTGTGTATAGTGAAAGAAGCTGACCTGAGACCAGCGAGTGTTTATGATCCTGACGTCTTTGTGTTTATCAGCAGGAATCTTCAGTCTTGAGTTCAGACTCTCCATCACTGCATTCTGGGCAGGAAGCTCCTCCACACACACCTGGCACACAGACACACACATTACTGCAGCAGCTCAATACAAGCAGAATCTTATGTAAGATTTCAGAAACACACACACACACACACACACACGATCTTGCAATAATTAAAACGCTGCAACGATTTTACTAATTACACACAGCAACACATTGGAGTAATTTACATTAAGACTCATCTAAACTCGTTTACACGATGATGGCAGCTAAATGAATTTGCATAAATCTGTAAATATGCACACACATTCACGAAGCTCAGAGTAACTGTGTGGCTGAACTGAATATACCTGAACTTTGCCCAGAGTGTCTCTTATGTGCTGTGGCTCTGCAGGCTGCAGAGGAATGGCCAGCACGCCCTCAGCTTTGTCCAGCCAGCCCAGCATCGAGCCAACGTTCTCCTGCAGCTCTGCGGTCAGGCTGGATGCCTCTGCAGACCTGTAGGTTAGAGAGAAACAATAAAAGAAGTGTTTTCCTCTCAGGGGTGGCTGTGCCTCAGGAGGTGGAGCTGATCATCTACTACTCAGAAGGTTGGTAGTTTGATCCCTGGCTGCTCAAGTCTGCATGTCAAAGTCTGCTTGGACAAGATACCGAGCCCCGGGTTGAACAAAGGGGTATGAACGTGTTAGTCAGTGTGCATGAGACATGTTATTTAAAGTGCTTTGAGTAGTATAGAAAAGCACTTTATAAAAACAGTACATTTACTATCTGGAAAGACCACACGGGCACAAAAATCAGTAACACACGCGCACGAGTGTATTCATATCCTTGTGGGGAAATCTCACTGACATAATGCTTTCCTTCGCTGCTTACCCTACCCATAATGCAGTTGTAACCCTGACACTAAAACCACAAAAATGTCTTCAAACTTTTGGGGGCTGTTGGTCCTCGTAAGTATAGTAAACATGCACGTTACCACCGTTACAGTGGGTTTAGGGAGCAGTGCCAAGGAGGCTGACCAAAACAGCTGATGCCCATATTCTAATCATGCTCCCTCTATTTTAGTAGCACCTCAGGACCTGAAGAGGAAGAGGAGCACAAGCAGCTGAGCAAGAGAGGCACGAACGACACCAAAGGATGACTGTTTGAAAAAACCCAAAACACTAAGGCTCGACCACGAGCCCATCGCTGTGTCAGTTTTCTTATTACATTTGTTTATACTGTTAGCTTTTTATTTGTTTCGCCAAAAGTTGATTCTGCTCATCTGGACGTAGCGTTTTCTGGGAGAAACGTTTCGTCATCATCAGGTGACGTCTTCAGTCTCAGCTGACTGCAGGTTTCAATCTTATAAACAGGACATTTGCATAATGACTGAAACCAGCCCACTGAAGGAACAATGGGCTGGGAGGTTACCTTCATCATGACTATGCAAATTCTCATGACCATTGATCAACAACCACTGATCAATAACCATGAGTCCCATTCACAGAGAGTTGAATGGCTGCAATCACAGCATGTAAGATGGTGACAGATGTACCCTTAGGCCCCTCCTCCATTCAAAGATGGTCTTTCCCTTTACACGTAAATGGCCTCCTTGACTCCGCCCTCAAACCAGCGTTCCTCCCTGTCCAGGATGTTACATCCTCATCATTGAAAGAGTGTCCACTGGCCTGTAGGTGT